CTTTAGGCCAAGCCCCCCAAAATGTGGACATAAGCTCATGCAAATAAGTGCTTTGAGGGTCGTAGTATAGAAGGGCAGGGTTTGTAGCCCCTAAGTCTGAGCACATTGTTTCATAACTGTTCCTATATTTCATTTTAATGGATCACTTTGGATGGTGATTTAAGCTTACAGTGATGTTTGGGTCTCAATAGGTTAAATAGATCCAGAAGTTTTCATGTAAGCTTCTTTTGCGGTTCTGACTGTATGGAATTTTTAAGAAATTTATTACCTATATGTGATAGTGCAGATAGAGAAACCATCGCACAAAATGAAGAGGAATTGAAGAAAAATCTATGAAAGACCAAAATAAGTTTGCCATGATGGTTTTGGGGAATGGTTCTGATATTGAGAAGCGTGGGGGAATTCAGTAGTCAGTGACTTCTGCATGATATTTGCATGCAGAGAACTTTAAAAAGGTTACATTTCTTTTCCATGTTCATATTTACTTTGTGTTAAGGTTATAGGATCTCTGTTGGCGATGTTGTTGATGCTATTTTTGCAAACTCAAAATCAGTGTTCAAGTGGAATGGGATGGAAATTTTGAACTCCAGCAACAATAAATATATTTTATGTTCCTATAACATTCAAGCTGAACTATGTCTAAGAGTCAGAGAAAGTTGTTTTTACCTTGAACTCTGGAAGCAAGAAAGAAACTTTTGTTTAACAATTTCAGAGATTTTGTCTTTGCACTTACTGCAAAGTCAAATGTAGATATAATCCACTTTAAGTGGTTTTGGCAAAATACCAAGTATGCCTGTTTTTTGATAAGGGGAGAAAGCACAAAACTTTTCGTGAACACACATTTTACCTGTGTTACAGATATAAGCCTGATGTCTATGCAGCCTTTGATCCAGTGGACCTATTAAATACAGTCCTGTACAGGAAGTAGGTGGTTGGTATGAAACTCAAGACATCTTTCTGATTCATGTTAATAATGTCTGATTCTGAATTTATAGAGTATCACATAAAAGGACCCTGTTTATATATTCTTTATTCCTGTCTTCTCAAGATGTAGAACTTTATACAATGTTTTGAAAGAAATAGTCTGAGGGTATTCAAGATCGATCAAACAAAAATCATTTATTAGGTGTTTTACTGTGTTCCCTCTAGGATTCCTTTACAAAGATATTTGGCAATGGGACAACTGTGTGTGTATCTCTCTTTTTATCCATCCATCTATCTACCCACCACCAATGTATGTGATTTTCGTGTATTTGTTTATATGTTTTTGACTCACCATGGTTTGATATGCATAAAGACTGTAAGCTCCCTGAAGGGCAGGGCTGTGCCCCACTGCTGTTTTTGCTAACCCTGTAACTCCTAGAGGAAAGTTCTCAAGAAAGAAAGCATCAGCTTATAATCATATCAACATTAGATTCCTGAAGATGTCTGTCCACTGACCTGTGGTTTATATACTTATCTGCTTGGGTGGATTGGGTGGGTCTCAGGCATTGTTGTACAGATGCTGAATTTGATTCTCATAGAGAATGAGCGATTTACGATTCCCTCTTCGTCTTTCACCCCATCCATTTCCTGCATCCCACAGCTGGACACTTAATGTTGAGAGGAAGCGGTGTCGTCACCCTGCAAGTCTGGCAGAGCGAAGTGCTGCTGACAGACGGTATGTTTGGATTCGTGGGTTGGGTAAGCAACACTGGATAGAAGTCTTCCCACGGAGCACAGGACTTCTCCATCACCACTGGTACCTGGCCTGTGGGACCAGAGGGTGTATCAAACTTCACTGGACACAACGGAGAGCAAACCTCAGTGGGATTGACAATGAGGTTTCCAAATGAACAGCTGTGGACACCATGGTGCCTTCAGCGTATCTAAGTTTTTTTAATTTGGTTCAGCCCTAAAGTTGCTGGACCCATCTTTGCCTAACTTTCACTTGATCCTGGGCATTGGAGATAGCAGAAAGTTGCATGGAAAAGGGACCAACTATGACAAACTTGACTCACTGGACACATGCTATCTTTGTCTGACAACTTATAACAAAACTTTCCTGTCTCCAAGAGTCACGGTGGGAAGCTTAACATTTACCTCAAGTACCACACATATTCTGGGATGGACATTTTAATGGTTTGGCTTGTCCTTGGCATTGTGCTATGTGCTGATACCATCTCATTTGATTCAACAAGCAGTTTATTGTGCACATACTACATGCCAAGTGATTATGCAGATGCTGAGAAGAGAGTGGAACCTGAGACAGGCACAATTCTCAGCCCCTGAGTAATGAGGGCAGATGACAAGAAGGGAATGACCCTGTCATTAATGTGATGAAAGAATGGTCCCCTGAGACAAAAATAGCTTTTCTAGAGGGTTAAGCCTTCTAGAACTTTCTGGTTACCTTAGATTGCTCAAACTTCTTTGTGCTTTTACAGGTTGTTTCTGGACTTGGGAGTTCTGAAATATTGTGAAAGCAACCTTGAAGAGGGTGTGGCAGGTACTGTGCTGAAATCTAGATACCAATCAAAGGAAGGTCTTATACTAGAGCCTTCCTTAATTCAGATATTTTGAGGATATAACTTGTGTCACATATATGATCATCTCCATTATATTAATATAATACTAGTATGTGAACATTTTATTATGTTTAAAAATGATCCAGCTAGAGGCTGGGGTTATGGCTCAGTGGTAGAGCACTTGCCTCACATGTGCAAGGCACTGGGTTTGATCCTCAGAACACTAAAAATAAATAAATAAAATAAAGACATTGTGTCCATCTACAACTAAAAATATATTTTAAAAAAATGATCCAGCTTCTTGGGATGCCAGGGCCAGAGGATGGCAAGTTCAAGGCCAACCTGGGCAACTCAGTGAGAACCTGTCTAAAAATGAAAAATACAAAGGGCTCAGGAGGTAGAGAACCCTTGGGTTCAATCCCCAGTACTACAAAAAAAGAAAAAAAAGGGGGGGGAAAGGTTTTGTTTTATGTCTCAAATAATTTTTTAAAGTCTAAAAGCCATCTATGAGGAAAAAACAAAAACACAGCTTTTAAAGCAAAATGGTGTCCTATTTGGTATAGTCATTTATTTAAAGATGAGGGGGTACATTTTAAATGCCCCATACCCAGTGGTCTCCATCAAGTATCTCCTTTTGTAGAGCTATTTAACTCTTTTGGAATTTCTTTGCGCCATTTTCAAACGCTCTCAAACTTAATTGCTATGCAACATTATTAGGCAGACTTAGTGTTCAGCTACCTTCCAGGGATTAGTCCACATTCCTTTCACTAATGTGAAAGCAGGAAAATGAGCAACACCCAATTGGCTCAAAAGCACATGCTGGGAGAAAGAGATGGAGTATTCCACGTCCCACCAGCCTGGCAGCTTAGTTTGCAGTGATGATCTGGAGAAGATGACTGTGCAAGAGAAGTGCAAACGACAGCACTGGTTAGTGGGTACTGGGTACTGAGTATGTCAGGAAACCAGAGACCTGGTTTATATAACTCAACACACTGAACATCTACTGAAGCAGATGCTAATGTGCCCATTTTATAGGAGCAAAACTGAGTCTTAGCATTCATGCCCACTTGCTCTCCATCACAGAGTCAGTACTAGATAAACTGTAGTTTGAACCCAGATCCATCTAATTCTATACTCAGGATGTTAGTTTCCACATGGGACTAGATTCAGTATTCCTTTCTAAGGGACAAGGTAATTGTGTTCAACTCTCTCTTCAATCTATAATGATATACACAGAGCTGGTATCACTTTAACATTATCCATTAGTACTCTGGAAATTCTGGAGTGTCAAACAATTGCAAAAGGTACATACAATGTTGCATAAATATCACAAATATCCAGAGGTAGACCATGTGGTCTGTGTTTGGGCTGGTGGCAGGGTGCAGAGGGAAGAGCATGGGTGTGAGGCTGATCTGGCTTGGGCTGGAGACATGGTCCCATATGGGCGGCTGAGTGAGCATGACCTGTCTCTTTCCCTCCCCAGTTCCAGTTTCCCCAGCTACAAAGTGGGGCTGTACATATCTAACTTGAAGGGATGTTAGGATAACTGGAAGTCATAAATCACAAATGTCTGTGTAGTGTAATAAAGTTGCTAATTGCCTCCCACTCAATAAGTGGTTGGAAAACTCCTTGGTAGTAAAGGTGCTTTGACTTTCCTGCTTAGCAACCATCCACCTGAGCCTATCATGCTTATGGAATGAAACCAACCTAGTGGCCCTGCCTGAACTGATCTGCCCATATCATCAGCCCCATCTCAGCCACTCTCCCTTTCACTGTTTTTTTTTTCTCATTCTTCACACAGGCCAAATGTTACCCTTCAGCCCCAGGATCTTTGAACATGATTCTTTGGCTCAAAAATCCTGTTTTACCCTCTACTCTTTCTCATCTTTGAGGTCTCAGCATAAATATCAGTAACCCAGAGAATCATCCTTGAAATCCCCAAATGTCAGACCTCCATCTTACATTTTCCCAGAGTGCCTTCCCATTGGGGAAACTCCTCCCAGTGGTAATTATGTACTTACTTCACATTAATTGTTTAACATCCGTCTCCATCACCAGTATGTAACCTCAAGAGGGGAAGGGGCTGTCTCTGCCCTAGCCACATCCCATCTATAGTTTGTGATTTGAGGCATCATTAGCTGGTATTCTAAATAATCACTGAATTAATAAATAAGTTGACAAAGGATGGCCTTATTTCAAAGAGTCCCCATTATGTTTCCTTATCTTAGTTTGTTAAAAGAAGACCATGTGATGTGATCCACCAAGGCATTGACCAAAGTCACAGGAGTCTGTCCAAAGGCATGCCCCTTTCACCCCCTGATGAGAACAAAACTTCCTCGGGGACCATTCATCACCTGTGATGCGGCAGCCTTGTGTACCCCTTGAGCCTCATCCACTGACCAGAGTGACACACTGGATGAGAAAAAGATATCACCTCCCTGAAACAGATGCTTCATTTTATGATGGAAACGGAGAAACCGGAGCCTGCAGGTGCTGGGCTGACACGTGCTCTGTGGAGAATCATTAGAGTCTCTTTAGAGAACCGGGTTTACTCTGTGTTTAATCAGCCCCAGGCAGAAGAAATGGCTTCATTTCAGCTGACGAGAGCCAGATCACAAAAGCAAGATAGATGGCCAATAGGGCTCATCACTGTAAGCATATTGTCTTGATTTGAAGGAACACCCATGCTAATCAAGAGGGAAATCGCGACTCAGCTAGCATTGATGATCAGTGGGTTTAACTTGCTGTACGCCTGTTAAGGAAAAGCTCCTGTTCGTTTTCTTAATTAATACTTTAAGGAAAGTGAGAACCATAAAACACATTCCTCAATCACTTCAGAAGTTCTTTGGTGTGGGATTCAAACCACTTAAGGAAGGACTTTTCACACCCGAAGTCTAAATCTCCACCCATAAAAAATATTAGGAAGGGTCATCCGTTCACTGTTTTGTGGGTGTTTGTTTCTTTTGGTCCAGGGGATCAAACTCAGAGGCATTCAACCACTGAGCCACATCCCTAGCCATAATTTATTTATTTATTATTTAGAGACAGGGTTTTGCTGAGTTGCTTAGAACTTTGCCATTGCTGAGGCTAGCTTTGAACTTGTGATCCTCCTGCCTCAGCCTCCCAAGCCACTGGGATTACAGGTGTGTGCCACGGCACCCTGCCATCCAATTATTCTTGATGCTTTTAATACACATTCTGTTTGCTAGTTGATCTGGAAATAGCCACAGATAGAGAGGATGTCATGTCTTATGTGGTTTTTGCTGGGCCTTTAGAGGTCCTCATAGTAGCCCAATCCTCTACTTGGGTTCCCGGGCACCTCACCAGCCCCAGTTTTATTGAGGTATATTATGAGCCTGCTGTATGTTAGGCCTCCCAAAATTATTTATCATGCATAACTGAAAATCTGTACCCTTTGAAACCTCTCTGTGTCACCTTCTCTCCAGCCCCTGGAACCTCCATCTACTCCCTGATACTCTGCTTGCTTTTGGTCTGCCAGAACAGACTTTGGTGAAATATTGTAAAATGGATATTTGGTTCAGTGGCAGTTAGCTTCCCAATTGCCAAAAATTGCCAGAAAAAAAATTGGAAGCCTGTGTGAGAGCAATAACATATCTGAACTCAGCATCCTTGCCAAACCCCTCTTATTTGAAGTAAAAGCAGATAATGAGTAGTTTGGGTACTTACAAACAAGTGGATGCTTTAGAGTCATTTGGTATGTGTCACAGCCATGTTTTCATTACATCCCCTGAGCATTAGCACAAAGAGCTTTAACAGCCCTCCCCACCCCAATGACTCTTTTCCAGATGTTCTGAAACAACATCAAGTGACCCAGTTTACCCCTGAGAGGTTTATAAAGGTGCATTTATGGAGAGACTGGCTGAGCGAGGCTGAGATATTCCCTTGGCGGCTTAGTTCCTAGATAATCTCCCTGAACACGGTATCGAATCTTACTTTACCTAAGGCACATTGAAGACGGTTTTCAGAAAACGATATGCTAAATGCTCCCAAAGTGAAGAAGAAACTTAAGAAGCTTAACAATGGATGTAGAAATATTATCATCAGCTATCGGAGTAATAGTATCCAGTCATTCCCCACCTACAGGCACGGGATGCAGGCTTAAGCGGATGAAGAAAACCCTGTAGAAGTGTGGGGACTTAGAGTGTTTAAATATCAGCAAGTGGAGGGGAAGGACTTTGTTCCCATTAAACCTGAACACGTGTCATTCCCTCTTTGTGCTGAATGGGATGAAACAGAGTGACAACAGCAAAACCGAATATGCCCCAGAGGCATGCCAAAGTTTTACAGACCTTCCTTGGGAAGCAACACCAAGGAAGCAAGAGAAGTCACCATTTGTGGATAGGGGATTATTTTGTTTTTTGCATAGGGTAGCAAATACCAGAGTGGTCCCTAAGCTTGGAACTCAGTTCTTAGCTTGTACAATGGAAATGAGCCATATCTCTAGGGGAAACAATATGTTACCTTATATCTAGTCACATGAAAAGAATGACCCATTCCCACCAAATGTGGGCATCAGGCAACATGTCAAAATCTGGCAAGAAGGTGGGCTAATTCTTCCGCAGCACATCAGTTATGTGTGGATGTTCAGTGGAAGAAGTGCCCCCCTGACTGGCCTCCAAAGTAAGCAACATGCCAGAGCCTTGATGTGAAAAGTGCTTAATATTCTACAATACGTCAATCACCCAATGGCCGCTAGTGCAAAACGAACAACCTTCCTAACATGACTTCCATTATGGCTGCCACAGAACTTACTGTGGTCATCCTGTTGAGGTTTTTTACACATGAAAGGGAAAGGGAGCCCATGTGAAGCAGCTCCTGTGGAGCTCAGATCACCTGCTGGTGGCCTGATGTGTAGAGTCTTTTAAGGGGGAGACACCATTGTGCTGCCACACATCACCAACTAATGGATGACAGTTTTTTGCTGACTTCTGAATTAGATGGGCTTTCATCTCTTAGAACGCTGGGAAGACTTGCTTAGCATAGCCGTGTTGTGTCTAGCTCAAACTTTGGTAAAGATGTACAACTCCAACTTCCTGGTGACATGGATGCCCACTTGAGAGAAGAGCTACTACTCTTTGCTTTGGAAGTTCATCATCTGGAACATCCAAGATTGAATATTTCAAGCCGATCCTCATTGCTGGTGCTTTTTGATTACCGCCACTGATCTGCTCATAGTTAGAAACATGAGTTAAATTACCCTTATCTTAACATCCTTAACCAGTGATGTTGTTATTGGTCATGAAATTAGCCACTTCCTCTGATTTCAAATCCACTGACAGTTTTGGGTGGTTTGAGTTGAGTGGGTTGGACAAGGGGAAATAGGCGATTTCCTCTGCCTCTTATGAAGTTAATCTCTCATCCAGATACTGCTCAAGCATCTCTTTCAACAGCCGTCTTTATTCCCAGTTCAACAGTATAACTGTAAAGAACAAGTTTCTCCTTTAGAATGCTCCAACTCAAAGTCTGAATGATAGACGATTTCCCGGTCCTGAATAACACACTTAAGCACTGATATTTCTTTCAACAATTTATCCTGGTTTGAACAAAGACAGTCCATTTCTCACTTAATCATGAAGCCAGCATGTTACGTGTACGCAAACAAAAATATCTAGTACCCATTCTCATTTGGGGTGAAAAGAAGGATCTCAAAAGAACTTTATAGCTAGAAATAACATTTTCTAGTGCCCACCACTTGACATTGGGGGGCTTCTGCTCTGTCTGCATAAATCTATGTTTTTAAAAGCCCAGCTTAGGAAGCTACAGGCTCAGGTCAGCTGAGAGAGCACACTTCCTTACCAGTGATCTCTGGGTATTCTTGGTTCACTCTGATAGTCCCAATAAAGGGCGTCCCTACTCCTTACTCTTTGTATCCTTTTGTTATGCACATGTCTCTCTCGAATCAGACTGCACAAATAGCTCCTTAGACTGCTCTTGTGCACACTGATCCTGAATCTAGAAAGTATTCCCAGTTTCATCTGTTCTAGATAGTTTCTAAACATTTTTAACTTGTTCCTAAACTAGTTTAAAAACATTTGTTTTAGGGGCTGAGGTTGTGGCTCAGTGGTAGAGCGCTCATCTAGCATGGGCGAGACCCTGGGTTCGATCCTCAGCACCACATAAAAACAAATAAATAAATGTCCAACTACAACTAAAAAAATATATTAAAGAAAAAAAGTTTGTTTTAGCTAGTGTGTTTTTCTCAGCATGGCATAACTTAACTACTAATATGTCACTTCCATGGAGATACTTGCAAACTTCTTCAGAAAGGAGCCCTCATCACTTACCCCAACAAAAATATACTTAAGCTAGCACATTTTTCTCAAACTCTCTTTCCTTTATAAAAGCGCATTTCTTTAGGTTTATAAACTTTTGTTCTCTATGCAAGGATGAAACATTATATAGTTTGTCACATGTACTTAAATTACAAAGACCCAAGAGACCTTAACACCTTTGAGTACAGTAGTGATTTTTAGTAATCTTGTGACAAGTCTTCCAACTGGCAATTTTTGGGGATCTGACATCTGCTTCTCCCATGGGTGCTTCTCAAGACAGCAGTGAGAATGAGAATCGCTTGGTGCTTCTCTCCCAGACCTGTAGCCTGGACTGAGGGCACAGGTGCTCAGAATTCTCCCCTGTGTGGAGCCCACTGTGAGTCAAGAGAGGAGTCCCTGCCCTGCAGAGGATGTCTACCTACCCCCTCTCTTTCTCTGCTGTGTGAATGTAAGACTCAGTAAGGCACTTTGAGAAAATTCATGTCTCATCACAAAGAAACAGCTGTGTACTGCCGCAGTTATTAACTTTGGAAAGATGTTAAAGAAAGGTATTTGCTTGAAACCAGTCAGTTCAGCTAGAGTCCCCTCCCCCCTTCAGGTTTTAACATCGTGGTGTCTCTTCCCTGTTGTCTAAGTGTTACCCTGTTTCTCTGATAAGACTGGGGGACACCAGGGCTGGTAATTTATGGCTCCCATTAAGAGGGTTGGCTAGATGTGTGGGCAATATGTCAATAATTATTTCTGGTGGGGCCCTAAGAGCATAGGAAGTGTCTCTGAAGAATGGCTTATTTTAACAGAAGACAGATCTGCCTGACCTGGGTTTTATGACAGATGTCAAATACATCGAAGTGTGTTGTGAAGCAGATCACCCTATTGGCAAAGAAATGAAAGACCACCAGGAAGATGGATGGGAAGTGTTCCTCGAGGGATTTCTTGTCTCTTCGTGCAGGTCTGCCAGTGAACCCGAAGAAGGGGCTGGAGGGCAGGTGAGAGAGGACGTTTTGGAGAGAAGTCTGAATGTTTGTCTAATTCATGAGATTTGGAAAGAGAAGCCTTCGACCTTCAGAGTCTAGTAGGATAATACAGGGCAGGGAGAGCAGGGTGATCAGGGCACAGGAGCAGGCTGGGTACCAGGGCAAAGCCAGCAAGGCCTCCCTGAGAGAGCGCTCCTCCTGCAGAGGCCCACTGGGCAGCTCTTGGACTTCCTCAGGATGTGTTTGTTCTTCAGCCTGCCTTCCTGAGTTCAGTTTGACAAATATTTCTTGAGGGTCCCCCATGGGCCAAGCGCTGTGTTAGGCACTGGAGAAGACCACAGGGCTCCTGCTCTAGCTCCTAATTTCTTTCCTCCTGCTAACTTCTCTTCACTGGATGACATAAGATTCTGGAGTCAGTTTTTTGCTACTGGATGGTCTACAGTTGGATGTGGTCACTTCTCCGAGCTCATTTTCCTTCATTGGAAAAAACGGGCTTAGGACTCCTGCCTCATGGGGTGGAGGGTGCTGCACAAAGCATTGTTTTCACACATGGCCCATAGTAGGTATGAGAAGGGAGGGGACAGGAACCTACCGGCTGAGTGTGTCACTCACACAGCATTTCCAATGGTCCTTTCATATTGTTTACTTCCTATAACTGTGGGAGCCAAGCACAGGAATGCAGTGCAGAGTATTTGGGTCCATGGTGGACTATATATACAAGAGTGGTTTCAGGAATTTATGAAAGAGCTGAAAGATTCCTATGGCTTAATGATGTGATAGCCATAATAATGTCATAGTACAATACACAACTCACACATTGGTGGTGCTGCTGGTGTAGACTAACCACCTATATTGCTAATCATTTAAAAGGATAGCACATACAATTAAGTATAGTACATAATACTTGATATTGATATGAAATTATTATGTTCCTAGTTTATGCACTGACTATGCTATACTTTTTATTATTAGAGTATACTCCTACTTAGTGAAAACAAAAAGTTTACCCTAAGCAGTCTGCTGTGTGAGGCAGCAACGGCCTCAGCCCTCTCATGTTCACCTCATCTCTTTTTATATTATTTTAATTTGTTCTTTTTAGTTGTACATGACAGTAGAATGTATTTTGGCAAATTATTCACCTCATCTCTTGACTGCATCAAGAGGCCACCCAGAGTGCTCCACATAGATCATCTGGATTTGCTTGAGTGCATGCTATGGTGTTCACACAATAACAAAACCACCAACAACACAGTTCTCAGAAGGAATCCCTGTTGTTTAAGTATTGCACAACTATGACGATTCTGGCTGAAATCAATGAGGTAGAAATGGAGATGGTAGAGAAAAAAAATTGTCCTGTTTAGAAAGAAGCCACCTCAAAGTCAACTAGATAAAGAAGCTATAAAGGGGGAAGTGATGACCACCTGTTTGCATTTTATTTCAAAAATAGCACTCTTCAGGGTTTTTATAGCATCCTTCATCAAATTGATATTCCATTGCATTATAATCTGTGTGTGTGTCCCTGTGTTCTCAGACTCATGTGTCAAATATGCTTAGCAGGAAACTGCTACCTGGGGCAGATGGATTATAAAAAAGGCTATCCTTCCCTCAGGTGGGAATAGCTGGCATCGGGGTGTGAAGTGGTGGGTGTGAAGTGGTGGGTGTGCAGCTCTCCTTCAGCTGGGCCCTGGGTGCAGGGCATGTCCGAGACAGTGGTTTGTGGTGACTTTGCTTGCTGGCATGCAGCACAGGGTGTGGCTCAATGTCCATGCTCAGTAGTGTTTGCAGACTCAATTTATTATGGTCAGCGGGCATTCTAATTTCAAAAAAGTTACTTTACTCATTGGAAAGTCATAATGGACAAACTCTGAGATATCACCACAACTGTATTTTTGGTCTTCTTAGGAGGTTTCTTCTTTAAGCCAATCACAAAAAAAGAATATAGCATTTCATGATTTCTTTGTGTGTTGAATATAAGCTAATAAGGGATTTTTAAATGGTTGGGTTATTATATTTTATTTTATTTTATTGTGTGTGTGAGAGAGGGAGAAAGGGAGACCAGAGAGCCTTTGGACTATTATTGGGAAAAAACATGGAGAAACTGAGGCAGCACAAATAATTAAAGGACTATTCTTTACATCATGTGGGATTCCTTAAAATTAGGTAAGGGATGAAACAGTGAAACTGAAAAAAGTTACAGGGAAAGTTAGTTGTGGTATAAAATATTTGGTTGATTTAACTATTTTTCTTCTGCCTCTTCTTTTTTTTTAGTCCAACTTATTTATTTATTTTTGCATTACAATTCTTAATACCTATTCTTTTAAAAAAATTTTTTTATTTGTTTTTTTTAGTTATACATGACAGTAGAATGTATTTTGACATGCATACATGGAATATAACTTCTTTCTGCTTATTCTTTAAAAAATTGCTACCAGAGAAAAGTAAAATCCTTAATAAATGTAGGAGCTCTATAATCTCCTGTGTTGGTCTTCTGTTTTGTGGTAGAATTATGAAGAGAAATCTATAGAATGCAGATCTCATCTGCATGACTTTCCCCCTCTTGATGGACTGGGCTTTTGACCATTATAGCCCCGGGGGATGGGGAAAGGCGGGTGGTGTAACCTGTTCAAAGATCCATTCCTCCAAACCAACTGCCAGAGTGGGTAAGTGCTTTTCCTGGGAGCAGGGAGTACAGGTGTCACGAGATGGAGAACACAGAATCTGTGTGTAAAAAAAGGGGCGGGGGGAATAAAGTGGAACTAGAGGAGAAATTGCAGCTGCCTTCAGTGGGATCCCAGATTAGCTCTGTTCCTTCAAAGAAGAGAGGGATCTTGCAATGGCTTCTGTCTCTTGGGCTCGCTTGAAATACCAAAGGAGAAATGATGCTTAGTTTGAATCTAGAAAATATAGAATCTGTCACTGGGCAGAGGGAGGAGCACAGAGCCTTTCAACAACAAGTGTATTCTACAGATAACTTATTTCTCCGCTTCATCCTGAATTTTTTTGGTCTCCCCTTGTTCTTTTATTTCCCCCTTGAATTTGCATTAAATTCATTATTGACTCTTAAAGGAGAGAGATTCTCAAGGGTTTAATTGAGATGTAATACACTACAAATATAAAACGTTGGAGGGAGGGAGGAATTTCACCACTGCTTTATTGAACTAAACGCCATCTCAAATGTTTTCACCCTTTTTGAAGAAAAATATAGCCCTCTCCTTCGGGAAGTTTGACATCTCAGAGGCCTTTATTAACTTGATCTTTGGGAATAGTGTTTTAATTTTTTCCATAATCATCATGCAAATGGATCGTGACGATCTCTGGAAGGGCAAAGAAGTGAACCAATGGCCTCATTAATTCCAATGCTGGAGGGAATCGTGTGCGTACCAGCCGGTGCCCTTACCCCGTTGTGGCCCAGGCCTTCTTTGTGTAGGACTTGGTCCAGTTCCCAGAGGAAGCAGTGGATAGTTCCCTGCCTGACCTGTTTAAATTGCCTCCTGCATTTTCCTTCCTTACAAAATAACAGTAGGATAATTTGAAAGGTCCCAACCTTCCGAAAGAAATGCCTGCATTCTGCTGAACTCCATGGCATCTCTAACTCTCCTATGACGGAACTGTGAGCTGGGTGCATGCATTCTATCCGGATCTTACCTTAATGATACTGAGGTCTCAAATTGCTAAACTTTGGGCAGTAAATCGAGTCAGTCAGCATTAAAATGCATGGCTCATTTACATAATTCTGAATGCTGTTCTGCTGAATGAGGAAGGTTTTTTTTTTTTTTAAAGCGAGCGTTTTAATTTTAATTTAGTGCAGAGAATGGCAGAGACAAATAGATCTGTCCAAAATATACTTAGTAACATATTTTTGAGTTGGTTATTAGTTTTATGTAAGTGGTGCCTCTTTTTATTTTTATAAACTGTGAAATTCAGGAGGAAGCAGAATCACATGCAATATCCTTTTATTGATTGCCTGCCATGTGCCAAGCAAGGTGTTAAATGTTTTCAAATGCTGCCTCATCTATCCTCATCCTACAGACAAGGAAAAGGAGGTGTGAAGAGGTGAAATATCTTGCCCAGCTGGAAAATGGCAGAGCCATTTACAGATCTGCCTCACTGTTAAAAATATTTCATGCAACTCTTGGAAAATTAACTTCTTTGGAGGTTTATGCAGTTAAAGACTATTTTTCAGTGGATCTGGTTACACTCTTCCATAGTAAGGAAGTTCCTACACCTCTCGGGGCTATCATTATGTCTCTTGATAAAGATGGCAGTCATTGCTTGGTGTCCACAACCCTTCCTGGCACACACAATGGCTTTCCACTGATAACTGGCCAAAAAGTCTCTGATTTTGGGAAGGAAGGCTATCTTCTCCTAGTGAGATATAGATGCATGACGTACACAAGAAGCTGTGGATGGGGAGGAATATCAAAACAGCCAGGCCAGTCTCTTGAAATACAGTAGGGACACATATATGTCTCTGCTATGTTTTGCATATGGTTTCAGGGTTCCCCAAGAAACCTGTATTAAAATTTAATCCCCATTGCAAGGAATTATGAGGGTGGTGTTTACACGTGGGCCGTTTGGAAAGCAATTAAGATTAGATAAAGTCACTAGGGTGGAACCCTTATGCTTCAATCCTGGTGGCTTTATAGGAAGAGGGAGAGAGACCAGAAAGACACACAGAACAAACATACTCTTTGGGATGCCCTGCACTACCTCAGGACTCTACCAGCAAGAAGGTCATCACCAGAAGTGGCCCCTGTACCTTGTATCTGCAAACCATGGACCAAAATAAACTTATCTTCTTTATAAACTAGCCTGCAACTGGTATTTTTGTATAGTAATGAAAAACAGACTCATTCAATCTGTGTTTGGAAATCTTTTTCTTTCAACTACAGTGAAGAAACAGGTTGTGCATGTTTTGTTTTGTTTTTTTAATCATTTATACCTCTCTGGAGAAATATTATAAACATGTGCATTGACAATGACTGCTTCTGGGGTTTTGATTAGAATACAGTGAAATATACATTCTATCAATATTTGTTGAGTGCTTCTCCCTGCACCTGCTGGGTATTATGAGAAGGCACAATAATCTTGTAGGAAAGGTAGGCTGAGGATCAAATGTCTGCAAAATCAGAAAGATGATCAGATGATTTGTAGCAGAGCAAGCATCAAGGAGCGATTTGACGGAAGCTTTGTACAAGCTTTGGAGCTGAGTCTTGAAGTTTTTCGTAGGAGTTCCTCAAATTGAGAAGTTGAGCAAAACACATCATTTTGAAGGAACTTAATATCTAACTTAATAAACCAAGAGCATATTATTGCCTTGGAAACAGCAATAAACATGTGATTGGTCTAATGTGATTAGTAAGGTAGTGCTCAATGGAAAGGGTTTGAAGTCAAATAAAATGTGGGGAACACTGGAAAAGGCCAGTTCTATTGACTCTTTCCTGTAGGCCTTCTCAGAGCCTTTCATAATCTATTTTGCATTGTAAATTTCCAAGAATTTACCCTAAACCTATTTTTCTTTCTGTTTCCACTGTGTACACAGGGTTCCATGAATCTCATGGAGGAAAGTGCTTCATTAGGGTGGAGGAAGCTGCATTAAGAACACGAATGATTTTGGTTTCAGAAAAGTAACTTTTGAGCACCTGAAGGAAGACTGCAATGGTGACAGATGAGACCAAAGGCAACCTATAACAAGGCTGTTAAAGTCTTCTGGGGAAGAGAAAGCAAGAGTTAGAATTAAACCAGTGGAGATGGGAAGAAGGGATGGACCTGAGAGAGAGCTGTGAGCAGTAGAATGGATACTTTGCCACCCTAAGGAAGTTGAATGTCTAAAAAAGATTTAAAAGGGACTCTTAAGTTTCTAGTTGGGAAACTTGGACAGTGAAGAGAAATGTTGGGTAGATGAGAAATTGAATTTAATTTGGGATGTGTTATAGTTGAGCTGTCTGTAAGACATACAGTCAGAGCTGGTCAATTCCCATTCATTCAACAATTGAAGATTCTAATCTACAGCTCAGGGTGTACATGAACATGATTTTATTTTTCTATGATGTTTCAGGTGACACTTTATTATCTTGCCATGTCTCAGGGGTCATCATAATGAATATCAAGTGTTGCTTGACCATAATGTATAAAAGCACAGATTGCAGAGAGCTGTGTTTAATAGAAAATAAATACAAATGATTTATTAATTTTATTCATTGAGCTTTTGATATGTGCCTACCATAGCAATGGTACATGAGGAAAAGAGAAACACACACAAACAAACATAAAACAATAAAAAGGCAAAATCCTTGTTCTATTTATTTATTGTCTTAAGCTTACAGAAGATATTTGCAAATGGGCAGAATACCTGTGTTATGATTCCAATTCCAATCTTTTCCTTGCTTATGTGGCTTAAGGCAAATGACAGAACTTTTTAAACCTTTGGTTTCTCATGAGAAAATATTGTTTGTAGAATATTATTTATAGATCATTGGCATCTTTGTTACTAGGGAGTTGTGAGGATTAGCTAGGTTTAAAACAAAAAAATACTGTATTTTGAAAGCAATAAATTTCTTTGGGAAATAATGAATGCATTGTGATCTATTTAATACATTTTACCATTACTTTATTTGATTTCCAGTTAAGCCAAATAATAATCTGCCTATTTGAATTGCAAAAAGCAAGCTGGTTTGAATTAAAGAAGTGTGAAAAACTCTTCGTTGAGAAAATACGTAACACTTCCATCAATTAAAAATAAGTAAAATGTGTTAAAAATAATGAAAAGTTCATGTGTAATTGAACTGGCTTTTTTTCATAAGCCTATATTTTTTCTCAAGCTTCATGAAACAAAAATTGAATTGGTGCCCAATATGAAATCTGTGTTAATTGTTATTATTCCCATAAAGTTCACATGATTAAAAAAAAAGTTTTGCAGCTGTGCCAACTCAAAATGCATAGTACCTGCCTTTCATTTTCTCTGGATTTATTTTTGGTATTAAAGACCAATATTCACTTTGGCAAACAGAGCATTTGCTAAATTGAAAACTTCCTTAAAACACTTGAAACTTTTGACATAGATTGCCAAAATCTCATGGTATTTTTGTTAATCTCACAAAACTTTCTTTGTTCTTTCTGGCTTCATCAAGAGTAAGACATTTCTCGATTTACCTCCAATCCCATCATAATCTTAAATATTGTTGAGCTAGAAGGCACTGCAATATTAATTAAAAATACAGTCTAATTATTTACCCTAGTTGGTTCATACAAACCTCTATAGTATAATCAGTGGACTCCCTTAAGGGGTTTCATGATATTTCAGAGTGAAGTGGGAACGTCTGCTACTGACTTACTCTTGGCTGGCGAGTGTAATTAAGTGTAACCTACAATTCACCTTTCGGTCACTAGATCAAATGGAACTTACCTGGGCAATGTCCAAAGGTATGTGCTGATATTGACTGAATGCCGGTGGGTGGCAGATGTAAATGAGAAGACCTTTTCATTTACCTCCAGGAGTCTTGGAGAACATTCTGCGTGTTTCTGAGAGACAGAGGGAAAGCAGAGGGCAGCCAAATAGGTCATTAGTTTTAGATAGACTCCAAGACAAGGCACCCTAAGCCAAGCTTGGGAACAGCTCAGATGGCTGCAGGTGTTTGGTGACAATCTCTTCTCACCTCTGGCCTTAGCACTGACCTAGTGTTACTGGGTGTGCCTGGGGCTGAATCTTCAGGGGCAGCTGCTCTTTGTAAGCAAAGCAGAGACACCCTTCCTGGTCCAGCATGGGGCTCAGGTTTTTTAAAACTCTTTGGGGCCCAGAGTGCAGCTCAGTGATAGAGCACTTGCCTAACATGTGCAAAATCTGGGTTCTATCCCCAGTCTCGCAAACAAAACATCACAGAACCTTATGTTCTTGGATTTAGCTGGCATAATGAGGGAGAACATTCTTTCTAAAGAAGACTCAAAGGGTCCATAGGCATCCCCCACAAAGATGTTTTGAAAAAAGTGACAGTAACCAAACTGGCTTAAAGGCAGTTTTAGGACTGGAGCCTGCTTTAAAATAAAAGCCTGTGTCTGAAAGTTCCCCTCAATGTGCATCATGGGAAGAAGTAAGCCCCACAGGAACAACCCCATAAGGGAGCAAAAGAGTTTGAGCAATGGCAAACAGTAGTGAAAATAAAATGGTGTATGATTTTTGACTGAGAGTGACTGAGCTGTATGCTTATTGAGGGATAGTGTAGAGTGTATGAAGAAAAAGGTAACTTGGGCTATGTCTTTGGATACCTCGAGTGTTCTTTTAAAAAGCAGAAATCCCCTGGCACAGTTTTTACATATGCAGGCAATTCCATAGCTCACTCACCCTCTCTCCTCCACACCTTGTTCTGTGTTTCCACTGCTCACATTCCCAGCAGCTACAGCAAGTATCTCCCTTCTCGGACACCTCATTGGACTGTGAGCTCCCTGGGTCCAGGGCATGTCTGGTTTTGCTGACCCAGTCAGTGAAATTGACTTCTGTGCGTTTTCATCCAGCATCCTCATAGGACTTTCTGGAAGCCTAATATCTCCCTACTGCCCATATAGATAGGGTTTTCCAACAACCTTAGAAAATTGACTAGGGCACAAGAAACTGCTGTGAAGATCAACTGGAGGAATAGAAATGGATCAAGAGATGATGTTTTCCAGTTGAGTTTAGAATCTCCGTTTCACAACTGCATTGTCTAGTATCTCTTCTTGAGCTCCTTTGCAGAGCAACATAGGCCCCTCCTCGGAATGGTCCCTGTCGATCTACTCTATTAATGCCTGTGAGTTTTGCACAGCATCATTTCCCAAAGTGGTTGCACTGAATGCCAGTTTAATGAGATTTCAGGTGCCAGAAAAAAAGTGAAGGGGAGATAGAAGAATAAATTTGTAAATAAATTTGTAAAACATAGAATATCCTTGCTCTCATTGTGATTCATAATGCAGCTGACCTCACTAAAAGCTCCAAGGCCTGCAAGAATTTGTTTAACTTAACACTTTTCAAGCATGATAAATGCCATTCTCTTTTCTGTACATAACCCTGGTCATCTTGTTAAATAGTTTGGGAAATCCTGCATTGGCTAAACCCAAAACTTTTGCCAGGTTTAGTCAACTTAACCACAAATGTGCCTTTTGAATTTCTGTCATGGCTTTCTCTCTCTGCTGTTTCTCCCTTTGGACAAATGATAATTAGTTTCTCTATCCTTCCAAGTTCATCCAACTCATATGTTACATCCTTTGTGAAGTCCACTTTGACTATTCCAATTCAGATTGGTGCTACATTTTCTCCTAGGTTTTTAGGCAATTTTCAGCTAGTCCATGGGGTATTTATTTACTGCTTTATCATTTTTTAGTATTCGTTTACTACTGAATTGCTATTTTTTTTTTTACCATTTGTGTTTACAATGTTATTCCTTCTGTCTTTACAGTAATGCAATGAACTTTTAAGTTTCTCAGAGGGATTGATGATTTTAACTTTCACCTTAGGAGGTAGTCATGAAAGAATACAATTTTAGAATAAAACAAATGGGTATTCAGCTGCACTTTAACCAACCAGCTGCAAAACTTGGGGTAAGTTACTCAATAGCATCAGTTTTCTCTTCTGTTAAAAAGGAATAGTAAGTTATCCACCTAATAAAAGTGTTGTGAAGATTAAATGAATCTAAACATAGTGTCTGACATATTTAAACAATTGATATATTTCAGTAGCTATTGTTATTATCATCATTACTTCTAATGTTTCTGTAAAAATCTCCTTTATGTTATGATGACTATAGATGCTCAATACTTAGGATATCAAACTTCTGAGGATTCTGATCTTTTGGTATCCAAAGAGGCTGCCTGTTTCTCTGCAAAGGCAGAGAGAGATAAGTCAAATGTATCATTGCCTGGAAAGGAATGGTTGGTCTCTCAGACCAAGGGCTATGGCTGTGCCAGTCACCATCTCTGGACTTTCTGGTTCATCCAGATTGCAATAGTAAAACCCACGTGCAAATCAGGGATTAGTCCAAATGTATCCTGACTTCTAGTTGCTGTGACTTGCATGGAAGGGATGTGATTCCTGTGGGGGCTGACTTGTATGCCTGCTGTACAGAACCTGGATGTGAGGGGATATGCAGCCATAAACCACAGGCTGGAGAGAGCCAGACTTTTAGTTGTTTTAGGTTAGTTCTCTTGCTTAAATCCATGTGATTGCCTATGCTGTGACAGTTCAGCAAAATCAGGTGTCAAGAGTTCTTTTATTTTTATATAATAAATACACATGAATGAATAAAAATTACTGTTCATTCACTAAATGTTTATTGAGAGCTGGGCACAGTTATAGACAGTTATATAATAGAAAACAAAAGACAGACCTCCCTATCGCAGTGAAGTTTAATTTTAGTGGAAAAAATCGGAAAACAACCAAGGAATCCAACAAATATAATATATCAAGTGGTGGTACGTACTAGGAGAAAATTCAAGAAGGGTATGGCCAATACAGAGTTGGGAAGGTCAGGGAAGGTCTCTTGGATAAGATAACATTTAAGTAAAGGGACAAAGGGAATGTGGGAAGAATGTGGAGTATGGGTCACCTAATAGGCAAGAGAAGAAACCAAGATAAAGGGAAAGAGTGGCTTGAAGCGAGCTCAAGAAACATGTCAAATATTCCAGCTAAGTCAGCATATTTTGTCTGTAAAAGGATTGGGAAGCCATCAGTGATTTTAAAGGAGAGGAGTGAGGAGTGGGTTGACAGAATAAAGTCGAAGTGGAGAGATGGCCTGGGAGGTCTAGCAGTAACTTAGGTAAAAGATAATGCTAGCTTTGATTAGAACAGGGTAATTCATTGTTAGATTAGCTGGATAATTCTTATTGTGGAACTTTCTGTAAAATGTTTAGCAACATCTCTGGACTCTACTGAGATGCCAATAGTATCTTCTGTCTCCAGTGTGACATGTCCAGACCAATGAGTATTGCTGACCTATATTGTTGGCAGAGATGAACAGAAGAGGTCAGATTTGAATAATTAGGTAATCGAGTTAATGAGAGGTGGTGGGTTAGGGTGACAATGAAGGAAAGGAAGAGGATGGGGAAGAAGCCCAGGTGACTGCCTGGTTTACTGCAGGAAAACCAGTTGAGTGGTTCTGGAGGAGGAGCAGGCTTGCTGGGGAAGATGCTCATGTAGATCAGTCTTTAGAAGTACACAGTTGGGGCAACCCATGAGACCCCTCCAGTGGAGAATGGAGCAATGAGTTGAATTTTCTGTTCTGGAGTAGAGAAGAGAGACTGCATGGAGGGACAGGATTTAAAATTAATGGCCCATGGACATTGCCTGGGGTCATGATGGAAAATTATGGGATTGATTAAGGACCTCCTTAAGAGTGAGAAAGGAGAGAAGAGGGCTGAGGATAGTGCCATAATTATCCTGAAGATCCAAGACTTGAAGAAAATGCCAGAAAGAAATTAAAAAAACACCCTGCAGCCTGTGATAGCCTGAATATGAGATGGCATGGTAACCACAAGTAGGGGCTCTGGAGTCCAGTGGCTTGGCTTGGAATCCGGATTCCACCACTGAAACTTATATGACTTTGGCCACAT